GCTTTGCTGCTCGGGCCTAATAAGAAACTTTCGAAATACAATAGGCCTTCGCAGCGCTTTGCTGCTCGGGCCTAATAACCCTACATAATGCAAACCACAATTTTAAGCTAAAAGGAAAATGAAAACATATTTAGACCAGCATGTTTAACCAGTTGTAAATGTTTAATAATTCATAGGCCAACTTCAGCCTGGGGCAGCGATTCACCTTCCAGCTCTCATAAAGCAAGGACACAGGAATAATAGTTTTAGCCCATGAGGCAGACAAAGGGCTGGGTATCATTCAAAATTTTTTGATACCGATACCAATATCGATACCTTCATTTCGATACCTATTCCTGAACGATACTTTTTTCGATACCAGTTTTATAATATCAATTCGAAGAAAAAGAAAATTACACAACATAATAAAGTACAAATCTTGAGTTTTATCTTAACCCATTTAGGCCGGGAAAGCATTACCGCATTTCTACCATTCAAGCCGGGGGCGCTGTTGCGTAATTCTACCATTGACGCCGGGAGAGCATATAAGTCAAGCAAGAAGAAAAAAGTTTTTTTCAAGCAAACATGGAGGAGTTTGACAGAGAAGAGTTGTCGGAAGGCAGTGATTTTGAGGAGTGTGTCGGCTTTGATGACGGTATAGATGAAAATGTTGACTTTGAACGCGCTGAACCAATCGACCGGGATTTGTGGTTAAGACATATGTTCGAAGACGACGAGCCGGACGCTAGCGACGATGAGTTTGAAGGTTTTGATAGTGACTGGAAGACGGAGAACTAACACCGCAATGCACAGAGTGTTTTCAACCGCACACCTGGAGTGAAAGTTGATTTGCCTGCAGACGCCACACCGCTGCAGGCATTTGAGCATATTTTTAATGAAGAACTTTGGAATCATCTTGTTACCGAGACGAATAGGTACAGTGACCAAACAAACCAAACTCCAACAAGAGCAAAGATGGCAAATTGGTCACCCGTGACTGTGACGGAGATGAAGACATTTATTGGGCTGTGTATGGGCATGGGACTTCTTGTGTTGCCAGTACGAAGAGATTATTGGCGACAGAGTAAACCTCTCTTCAGGACGCAGTTCCCCCAAAATATGTCCCGGGACAGATTTGTGGCCATCTGGAGGCAAGTTGTATTGCAATTTATAACACAGACATATGCATTATTATGCATAATAATACTGTTAATAAGTAATCATCAGATAGTTATTTATGTAATGTTTGTTCTTTATTTTAAAAACGTTTTATATTGCACATTCTCAATGAAGACATGATCACATATGGAAAAAATAAAAGGTTGAATTTTTCTTTTTTCTTTTTGATTACTGCTTTTCACTTTTTTTTTTTGGAAGAATTTCAAAGATAAAATATATTTTGAGTTACCTTAGACTTTTTGTTCATCACATAATTACATGTGTCTTCAGTCATAATCTACAATGTGAATAGTGTTGAAAATAAAAAAAATAAACAACTGTATGCCAAATGTGTTACAAAAGCTTGACAATATTTTATGTGATGCTTTCACATAAAACTAAAACATAACTTACTAATTTACTAGGCCTTGACACAGTTGCTGAATTTACAGAAAAACTTCAGGTTTTAGGGGTATTTTTTAAAATCGGCCATAGGTTTTTAAGGTGTTTTTTCCAAGCGTTTTAGGCCTAAATGGGTTAAGCTCAGATCTTTACATTCAAAGTACTTCTCTTGTCTGCTGCAGACACTCTGTCTACTTTTAAGGGTAGGTTTAAAACTTTCCTTTTTCATAAAACTTAAAGTGGCTCCGGTTATCCTTAGCTATCTATAGTTATGCTTCTATAGTCTTAGATTGCTGGAAGACGTAGGCACCCCTTTTCATCATTCTGCTTCATTCTATCTCTATTCTCTAATTGTTAGTTTAATCTCTAATGTTATGCTCTCTCTGGTTTTTCTCATAGTAGCTTCGCCTCATCTGTTCCTGTTTGGTTGTGACACCAGCCTGGAGAGAAATATCATCTGTGTTGCTGCCGTCAATATCTTTGTTTATAGATGTTGGAGTGTGATGGCTGCATGTGCAACCACACAAATGGTCTGGTAATTCTTTCATTAAATCTTCTATTTTACTTTACTGTATTTCTTGTTTTTCTACTTTGATTTAGCATTGGTTAACTATGTGGGTGCAGACATTTAGTTGACTCATTTAGTCATTTCTTGCTTGTTTGGTTTCTCTACATTTATATATTTTTCATTTGAGTTGCCAGTTCCTGGGAGGCTGTCATGAGTGAAGCCAGTAAGAGAAAGGAGGCCCCAGCTGCAAAGTATCTCCTCATTGACATGGAGGCCTAGTTGGACTCTTCCACTTACTTTTAGAAGGGGTGTAGAAAGGGTTTAAGTTTCTGTATTTGGTTTTGTTTTCTATAATATTTGGAAAGTTTAATATTTAAGTCCTCTTCCTCATAGGTTGCTGATTTAGTATGATGCTGATTAGTTTGGTTTTTTTTTGTTGTAGTTTTGTTTAGGAAAATGTATTTTTAGTTTCCCTCATGTTTCAAAATGGTCTGATCAACCAGTATGTATATGTTTCCCTTGTGTGTCAGTTAGGTAGGTCTTTTCCTGTGTCAGGTTTGGATTATGCTGATTTTTGTCATTTGGTTTCCTTGATGGGCCCAGTCTTGTTTGAACTTTATTTTTGCAAAATAAATTTGTTACCATTTTTTCATCAAGACTTCCCTGTGCTTCTCTGTTTTTTTGACTCGGTCCCTCACATGGAGATCGGCCTGTTTTTCAGTGTAGTCCTGTTTCTGTGATTGTGACCAACTGGATGTGCTCTCTTCACCCTCTGACATGTGAGCTGGTTTGGAACTGGTCTGCCTGGCTGCTATGATCTGGTTGAATTGTCTCCATAAAGTGCCTTTAGATTACATGTTGTCAATTTATGTCCTACATAAATAAACTGAATTGAATATCAGATGAATATGCCCCAGTCAAAGCCCACACCCACCTTTTAATAACTTACAGACTAAGTCCATTCAGTCCGTACCATCTTGATAAAAAGATGCTGATAGAGATACAGACCCAGCAGCTGTAACTGAAGCTGCTTCTGAAAGGTACTGAATCAAGGTGGGTTTATATAAATGTACTGTATGCTGAAAAATGCTTTATAAACCAAGTTCATTTGTCATGAACATTATCAAGTGTTTCATGTTGGTCTGTCTGTCAAACAAAGTATCTGTATAAAATATTGATGTTTGTGGCATTAATGGGTTATAATGTGCTAAGGTTTAACCTGTGTGTAAACTTCTAAAAACTATGACGTTGTTCTGGTCTCCAAGTCCATTTTTTCTTTAGCTTTGGTTCTGTGGCTCTGTTGTAACTTCCAGTGTTTACCAGAAAGCCTGAGTGAAAAGCAAGAGGACTGGATGAGATAAAAACTGAACGGAATGCACTGTGACTCTGCCTCCCTATTTGTTCCTTTAAATTGTTATTTCTGACAAACATGTTCCTGAAACTGTGAAGCTCTGGCTGTTCTTTCCAAACCGCAGCAGGATGAAATCTGCTCACCATCCCATAAAAACGTTTGTTTCAACCTCATGAGGGGTGATTGATTTCAAGAAGAAAAGTGATGTAAGAGCCCGTCAGGGCGGACCTACCACCCGCTGAGCCGCAGTAGGCAGCAGAACACAGGCCTCCGTTCAGGACCGGATCGGAGATGCCGCTTCCCAGGGCGTTGGGGGTGTGTGGAGAGGAGGAGGGCGAGCTGGGGTTGGATGTGATCCGTGGATCCCCAGCATGTGTGGAGCCTAGGCAAGGAGACAGAGCAGATACATCTCTTTACTTGGCTGTTAGATGGCAGCTTTACCAGCACAGAAACGAGCAGAGGAGAAGAGGGCAAGGTTTGAAATATGACAGTGAAAATATAAAAGTGTACTGTGGTATAAAAATGTCCGCTCTAAAGGGCTAAATACTAATAATAGAGAAACAGAAACAGTAAAATCAGTGGCTATAAAAGCTGACCATCATTGGGAGCAATAATTTTGATTTCATAACGTGTTCATGGCCGACGCCACAGTATTTAGGAAAGGTATCTGTAAAACATGTCTGCCACCACCGTGTTTGACACTTGTATTACCTCTGTTCTATTTTGTGTACTTCCAATCGAAGCATTTGGTTACCAGCGTGAACGAGCAGAGATCGAAGCACAGCTTTAAATCTCACACCTGCTCACTCAAATTTCACCTACAGAGCTCCAGTCTGTCAAACCCTGCCCCGCCGGCTATATTTTCTGCCTATGCTCGACTAACTTAAAGTGTGCGCCTCATGCTTACGACTTGATTGCACTGTATGTAAGTGAACATCACCAAAACATTTTTTTCTTTTTTATCAAATAAAGCATTCCTTGCAAGTACTACGTTTGGAAAGAATACATGGTATAGAATACAGTCTTATACAGCACAAAACCAACAAAAACATCAGACAGTAATAAAATAAACTCCTTAATGTTCTCTATTAATCTACATATTTATTAGTACTACCGGTAACTAAAACTGTGCTTTTAAAGTAAAATTCCGACTTTTCTTCAGCGTCTGATGTGATGTGTAAAAAAGTTTTGGTCTCATTTTCAGGATTTTATTATTGCCTTTGTCTTGGTAAGAGCTATAAAAACTTCAGATAAAGAATGACTGCCTTCTGATGAGGGTTATATCAACACTTTTACATTAAAATATGAACATCAGCAGTAAAATAATAATAAAAAATTTATTCTGGATACAATAAAGGGCATTTATTTGGCAGAAAAGAAAGAATGTGTAGCAACCCTCAGAGCTGCAAGGAAAACAATCCTCCAAATGAGGTGAAACTATTTTTACATAATTTTGTAGCTCAAGAAAAGTAAAAAAAAATGTTGTTTTAGTAAGTATGTTAGTATATTAATTCAAGTGTTTATTTTATTAAAGTCTGATGGTAATTTTTTAAATCTCAATAAAAAAAACATGTTTTTTTTTATCTCTGCCACTTTAGGTGCAGTATTTTAAGACATAAATGTATTCACAAAGAGTATGATTGGATGAAAAATACTTCTTTTCGACTTTCTGGCGGTGTGGTTTATCGACATACAGCCGATCAATTTGTAAGCGCAGAGATGGAGCTGTGCGCATGGCTGAAGTTAAGCGAGCAGGAATCTGACTGAACGCATGGAGTGGGAGTGCCGCCAGTGAAGCAGAGTTTGTCTCAGTTCAGCAAACAGCTGACACATTTTGGGAGACTGAGTCAAAGATTTAAACATTGCACATCATCTCTCACTGCTCACTTAGACTAGTAAGTTGGTAAAAAAAAAGAACACTATAATTAATCTTCCCAGTAATTACTGGTAATGTGCCACCTTAGCGTTATCAGACATGAATTCTGTAGAAAAACTTTTTAGCATTATTAAAAATTTGGAAGGAAATCAGTTGGATTCAATTTTTCAACTAGTTTCTGTATTATAGCAAAGTTTTTGTAACTGAATAATTTGTAGAAGAAAGTTGCCGGTTGAAGTCCCAACCAACGTTTTTTTCTGAAAGGATTGCAGGGAGAGAAGTATGAGCAATTCGTACAGCAGTATGGCCCCAAACAAAAGCACTATTTACATTTCCTCAGCAGTCAAAGTTTTACAACCATGAAAACAGAAATTCCAACACAATCATCACCGTACAGAGGAGTGGCCTCAGTCCGGTGTCGCCCAGTCTGTGCTCTGATTTTGTTTTACACAGAAAAGACAAATGGGAATTCTGAGTACAAGCTTAGGGAACACATGTTGGAATGCCAGAGATGTTTGCAAAGCCTGGAGGCGGCTGAAGGGCCCGGCATGACAAACAGGATGTACAATGCAAAACATTATGGACACGTGTCTCCTCTAAAATAACCTGTTAATGCTGTAGGGGTTGTGTCGCCACCACATAGTGTTTGCAATCTGATCCCTAAAGGAATTCTTTACATCTTTCTGTTGTTCGTCTGCAACATAAAATGCAATAAACAGTATTTAGACCAAACTTAAAATACATAACTTACTTATTTGAAAGTTTTGAAGCAAAAATTAATAATATCTTGAAGCTCTTTTCTCTACTCTCATCTGCAGAGATCTGCAGAACAAGTAAGCTCACTGGGGATGCAGGGACATCTCCATGCGAACTCTCTGTTTGGCTGGTTAAGATCCAGAGTTGTTAATCTTTTTTGGTATATTTAAAGCAGGTGACCTCAGAACCCACTGACCTGTATGTCTCAGGTTTTTTTCTGCCACCACACTATACAATAAATGGGTAATTAAGAGACCTCTGCAGCCAGAAGGCAGTAATGTGATTAAGATGTGCTTGAGCAGAGAAGAATACAATTAATTAAAAATGGCTTCATCAGGACGTAGAGTACGGAGTGAATTTTGTCCCATTATTGTTACAAGCAAATAACACTTTTTGCGTATGGAAATTTGAGAAAAAAAAAAAAAAAAACGCCATCCAGAAATAAAACAGAAATATAAATATATATTTTATTTCTGGATAGCTTTTTTTTCCCCTCAAATATACATTATATATATATATATATATATATATATATATATATATATATATAATATATAAAATTAGCACAATGAGGTAGGTTTCTGCTTGGATAAAAAACCCCTAAAAAGTTAAACCGATCCTTAATTTTTTACTTTCAGATTCTATATTTATTTAATTTTTTTATTTTTGATTTGTCCTTTGTCACCAATTCTATTCATATTTTTTTCCACAGAATCTCTGGGCTCAGCCAAGGTGTTGAGGGGATCCATTTTACTGGCCTTAGGATCGCGTCTTTGTTATTCGCAGATGATGTGGTTTTATTGGCTTCATTAGGGAGTGATCTACGGCTCTCACTGGAGCGGTTCGCAGGTCTTGAGCCAAAAAAAGTTGGAACGCCTTCTCAAGGTTTGGGAGGATATACTGCCCCTAGTGGAGGAGTTTATGTATGTTGGGGTCTTGTTCACAAATGAGTCGAATATGGAGCGGGAGATCGACAGGTGGATTGATGCTAACTGGTCTGTTGTGGTGAAGAGAGAGCTCAGCCAAAAGGCAAATCTCTTGATTTACAGGTTGAGCTACATTCCTACTCTCATCTATGGCCCTGTCTATGAGCTGACTTTATTGATCTCAGAGTGGAGATGATGCCAAAGGAAGAAAAGGTGCATATGGGTATTTATATAGATGGGTATTTATCTATATGCTATTGCATTGGGTATCAAATATAAAGGAACAGGTTACGGCACAAGGTTTTAAATAGTATTTGCACATTATACATTGCACAAGTTATTGCCGTTGTAATGTTGCCTTGTAGAGTCTGGTGGCAGCAGGGATGAATGACCTGCAGAAGATCCCAGATACAACAAATTAGTTTTCTCTGTATTGTGACTGGGCTTTCCCTCAGAGATAGGGTAAGGAGCTCAGTCATCCGGGAAGGACTCAGAGTAGAGCCACTGCTTCACCATGTCGAGTGGAGCCAGTTGAGGTGGCTCAGGCAATCTGGTTAGGATGTCTCCTGGATGTCTCCCTGGTGAGGTGTTCCAGGCATGTCCCACTGGGAGGAGGCCCAGGGGGAGACCGTGGACAGGGAGGGGCTATGTTTCTTTGCTGGCCTGGGAGCGCCTTGGGATTCCCCTAGAGGAGCTGGCCCGAGTGGCTGGGTAGAGGGACATCTGGGCCTCCCTACTGAAACTGCTACCCCTGCAACCTGACCCCGGATAGGAGGAAGAAGATAGATGGATTCTTATAAGTTTTTATTGTTCATTTACCAAAATCATTTTTTCTTCACATTTTACCTATAGAATTATTTTTATTTATCATCATGCGTTTTTTTACATTCATTGCCAGCCTTGTTTTTGTCAGTAATTATCCAAACCTACGGTGACCAGACGTCCTCTTTTTGGACATGTTCTTCTTTTCATACCTAAAAAAATGTCCAGGCGGAATTTTTAAATCTTCCGGGATTTTGGTCGACTACAGTGCAGCAGAACCGAGGTGTTAACCTTCACCGGGTTGGGTTTGGTTGCTGCGTTTCCGGCTGGCTCGCTGCTCCCCTCCGCTGAGGTTCCTCGACCAGCCCCTCTGCTGATGGCTCGGTTCAGATGCCCGGTCCAATCCAGTCAGAGACCCAGCAGACCACCCCCCCCCCCACCCCCCCCACCCGCCACCAAAAAAAGTGTCCTTCTTTTCAGTAACCCAAATCTGGTCCCCATATCCAAACCAAACACAAAGAAAACACTTTCTCATTTTTTCAAGTAATTTTTACCTTTAATTTAATGTTGTTTTTAAAAAAATAAATTTTCCCTGATGTGATTGACTGACACAAAACTAATTTTAAATCATGCTACTAGACAGGACAGATGATGCAGACTTATTTTAATCAATCTTTTGTGCATTTACTATTTTCATTAATGTTTAAGATGGAGAAAAGCCTTGATTTTATTATCAGTCCCTAAGTGAAGCTGCTAAGTTCCTAGGGTGGAGCTGCTAACATCAGTTCACCCTTGGTAAGGTTTCATCCTTTGATAAGCCAAAATGAAAAATAGGATGCAGTAATCCATTTTAAACCTGAAGATGGTGCCAAACAGACAGTTTTAGATGCAATTCCAGGACTTTGAAAAATGTGCAGTAAATTGTCAAAACAATATCTGGAAAATCTAGATGGTATAAGACATCTATTTCTACAGTTTATCCTAAAAAAAAACATTAGTTTAGGGGTAAATCGTCCTTTAAATTTAAACATCAAACAAACAAAGCACATTTGATTACAGCAG